AATAATATCCAAAAACCTGAAGTTGCTAGCTGCACCAAACAGCCCTAACCCGCTCGGACCTTACCGGTGCTCTCCTTTTTGGCAGTCTTAATTGCTTTCTGTAAGATTACCACCATGGAAATTGACATTCCTTACCACTATAACCCAAACAGCATCAGGATTTGGTAATGTCAAGAAACAATAACCGAGGCACATAACACATGCATAGCTAGATTAATAAAAATTCTAGTTGCAACATCACGTTTTATAAATGAAGATACATACATCAAGTTCAAATATATTCCTCAATGTTTTTCCTTTTTTTTTTTTATTAAGTCTAATGAATTAATATTAATTTTTATAAAATATAATTTTTTCTTAGTTTTTAACTCATTTTATTTGCATTCCATACAATTCAAATTCACATCATTTTACATCAAGTTCAAATATATTCCTCAATGTTTTTCCTTTTTTTTTTTTATTAAGTCTAATGAATTAATATTAATTTTTATAAAATATTTTTAATTTATTAAATTATTTTATTAATTATTATTACTTAATTAAATAAAATTAATATTTTTTAAATAATATTATATAATCTTAATAAATATGGGTAACAACAAATAACCACAATTGAAAAGTACTTGTTTCTAGATTCCACTCTGTCTCCACTAGCAAACAAGTAAAAAGGCTTTTATTTTACCATTTCAATCCAATTATTACGAGAGAGAGAGTAGCGGGATGGAGCCGGCAATTTGACTAAAGTGGGAAGGTGAAGATTTCAAATTGCGCCAAGGACATTCTTTTCAAGAAACTATATCATTTTTTAATACTAATACAACACACTATAAGATTTGTTTCAGTTTTTGGGAAGTTTCTTCACTGTACACAGTTCATACCTTTGAAGGAAGAACCATTAACCATGTGTGTTGGACTTGGACTTCATTAATGCACATACGAAGTTCTACAGCTGGGAAATCAAGGGAAAAATGCAGAGACAAGGAAAGGGAAACAGAGGGAGAATGAGGAAAAAGTTGATGTGAGCTTTTGCTTTGGATTCTTGTTCTTCATTCAAGAGAAAATCAAGGGGCCTCTTCTTCGATGAAGTGTGATGATCACAGTGATGTTGCTCTTTGGTGGGCTCGGTCAAGGCATTTTTTCAACAAAAAGGTACCTTTTTTTTGGGAGGTTTTCAGTTTTAACCCCCAGTTGGGTCTCTTCTTTTTTCTTGTATATGATGAGGCAATTGGTGGTTTCCAACTAGTGTTTCACTTTCACCCCTTTGCTTTCGATGCTAGCATTTAGCCTATCTGTGGCGTGATTTGCACTGAATTCGTCTTGGTTTAGTATTTTTTTTCTGGGTTCAGTCATTTTAGCCTGTTTTTCACGTTTGATGACTACGGGGATCACCTAACCTTCTAATTTTCTGCTTATATTGGATTTCTTTAGTGGGATTGCACAAAGGCAGCTCTTTTTTTTCTTTTTCTCTTTTTTTCTCCATTCAAGGTATATTATGGGGTTTGAATTCTTGTTTTTGGATTTTGGAATTGAAACGCTTTTATGACTCCAAAAGTTGGATGGTTTTTAAAATTTTGAGTTTGATTGTCTTTGAGAATTCACAGTTTTAGTATATGAAGGCTAATTCCATCTTCTCATTAGGAAAACAATTATTAATCATTGTTGCCCAAGAGCTTGTTGGTACCAGTCGTGCTTAGATGTTATGGTATTTTTGTGTTTATGGAGGAATTTTGATTTTGCGTGATTTGTTCAATGATTTTTGATTCAAGAGTAACGGAAAATTATGGCCTTGAAGAACTGGATAAATAAGTGGGGATTTGAGTTCCGAGGGAAGTTGCGGAAAATGATGAAGTGTGTCTGGTCAGGGCAACAATTGGGAGTTGCTGAAAGTGTTCGGTCATCTGAGTCCCTGGCAACTCGAGACTATTCAGCAAGTGGGTATTCCTCTACTAGAGCTGGGGAGATTGTGGAAACAAAAGCAGATACTAGCAACATTGAAGAAGCTGAGTCATCTCTTCGCGAAAGTGGCTACCTGAACTACGAGGTTGGTTGCCTTCGCTGCTAAATTTTGTTTCTTTTTCTCTTTTGCTTTATGGCTTTATTCCTTTACTGCAGTTCACTGTCACATACCATAAAAATAGTGAATTTTTGTATTGAGCATATTTACCGGAGAGAATTCTCCTACTCTTGAACAAATATATGTTTTTCCCTAAATAATTATAAGGAATTTTCTTGAATTTTTAGAGTTTTAGCAGTAATGCCATTTTTACATGGGACTTGTGTTCCCAAGTGTTTCATCATTTCATTTTCCTGTGTGAACTTGAGACTGAAGTGTTCAGCTAAGTCATGTGCTGCTGGATAGAATTGTTGTTAGTATAGGATTGGTTCCCATCACCTTACAGGTTGATGGAAAGATAAAAAGAAGATCTTATGTAAACTGATCAATTGCTGGATTGAATATGTGAAGTTGGAGGTAGAGGTAAAGGGAATTTATTATGTGCATTTGTGGTCGGGAATCGTAGTGCTGTGGCTTTTTCTCCTATGTTATTGGTCTGCTGTCTGGTACAAAGAAAAGAATGTTAAAGTAACCAATAGGAGGGCATGCTTGTTGGAAAGTCTAAAGTAATGGTATCAGTTTCCTGTGAGAGGGGTTCATTGGGTTTCTCGAACGTTTGGAAGTTATGCTTTTCATTATTTCTCCAGCTTTGTGAATTTTCCTTTTCTGCCCATGCTTCTGGTCTTGTTCAGACATGAAGCAGTATAAATCTGCACATTGTAATTGAAACAAGCTTTGTTATCTTGCATAATCTTCTAGTGCTTCCTCACCTCCATGTTTTGTTTTAACTGTGGAATGTACCAAATATTTGTCAGGTCATAAAAAATGGATATGCTAGTTAATTTGGGAGTTTTATTGTCAACACCTCTGTCTCATATATATTGTGGCCCGTTTTGTCTTGCCTTCTTGTTTTTTTGTGTCAGTCAAATGGTTGAATGTCTGACAAAAAAATTTAGTTTTTACTTGGAATATGAGTATGTGCTGATGGCATTCATAGAGAAAGTTTTTAGCTTCTCTTGACTTACGATGCTTACATACTAAATTCATAATATCTCCCTTTTGCCTGTAATAAATCTAATTGTCATTAATTATAGGAAGCAAGAGCATTGTTAGGAAGACTTGAGTTTCAAAAAGGAAATGTAGAAGCTGCACTTCATGTGTTTGAAGGAATTGATGTTGCTGCTGTGACTTCCAAGATGAAAGTCTCCCTTTCCAGAAGATGTGAACAAAATCATCGACGCTCACAAAGTGATGTTGTTCCTCCCATGTCTATGCACGCTGTTAGTTTACTCCTTGAAGCTATTTTGTTGAAGTCAAAGTCATTGCAGAAGCTTGGAAGGTTTGGAGGTATGCCATTCATTTTGTTACATATGTCACATATATCATTATTTCTTCAACATTCTCCATCTCAAAGATGTTTTCTAGATAAGATAATTTAAGGTAAGAAAGATTTCATAGTGCCATTGAGAATATGATGATGGGTTTCAGTTTCACTGATTTATGTTTCTTAGTTATGGATCTTTTTCGTTGAAACCTTAGCCTTCTTCTGTGGTTCAGTTTTATAATGATTTCTGTATAAGTAATGTTTTCTTTCGACTTGTTTTGCAGAAGCTGCTCAATCATGTAAAGTTATCTTGGACACCATTGAATCTGCATTGCCTGAAGGGCTGCCTGAAGACTTCTCTACAGATTGCAAATTACAAGAAATTCTGAACAAAGCTGTTGAATTGCTTCCAGAGTTGTGGAAACTTTCCGGGGATCCCCAAGAAGCTATCATGTCATACCGGCGGGCTCTCCTCTATCACTGGAATCTTGATATGGAAACCAAAGCAAAGATTGAAAAGAAGTTTGCAATTTTACTTCTCTACAGTGGTACTGATGCGAGTCCTCTGAACCTCCGTTCACAGATGGAAGGCTCTTTTGTGCCAAGAAACAACATAGAAGAGGCTATTCTTCTATTACTAATTCTACTAAAAAAATTTATTCATAAAAGGATTGGATGGGATCCATCAATCCTGGATCACCTCTCTTTTGCTCTATGTGTTTCTGGGGAACTGAAAGCCCTGGCACATCAGGTTGAAGAGTTGGTTCCTGGGATCATCGAAAGACAAGAAAGATTTTGCAGCCTAGCTCTTTGTTACTATGGGGCAGGTGAGGACATGGTTGGTTTGAATCTTCTGCGAAATTTGTTGAATGACAGAGAAATTCCAGACTGCATTTTAGAATTGTTGCTGGCTTCAAAAATTTGTGGGGAGAATATGAATTCTATTCAAGAAGGCATGAATTGGGCACACAGAGCACTTTCTGAATTTCATGGTAGATGTGGACACATGGTAAGTAAAGCATACTGCTTACGGGGTGTTTTGTTATCCGCTCAATCTAGATTGGTTTCATCTGATTATGAGAGGGATTTGAAGCAGTCTGAAGCTGTAGAAGCACTCAAAACTGCAGAGAAAATGATGACAGAAAGAGATCCTTATATTGTATATAATCTTTGTCTAGAGCATGCCGAGCAGAGGAAGTTGGATCTTGCACTTTATTATGCAAAGCAGCTATTGAAACTTGAAGCTGGATCTAGTGTTAAAGGCTACCTTCTTTTGGCTCGGGTCCTGTCAGCACAAAAACGGTTCATTGATGCAGTGGCAGTAATTAATGCTGCTCTAGACCAAACTGGGAAGTGGGACCAAGCAGAACTGCTGCGAACCAAAGCTAAACTTCAGATAGCACAGGGCCAGTTAAAGAATGCAATTGAGACATACACTAATCTTCTCGCTGTTCTCCAAGTTCAGAATAAAAGCTTGAGTGCTGTGAAGAAACTTCTAAAGGTATGTTTGTTGATTGACAAGTGCATTAACTCCGTTTCTAGTACATTTTTCCCATGTGAAATTGACATGGGGCAAAAGAGGGGAAAAATAGTCATCTAAAATTTCATTGTAGGGTAGAAGATAGGTTCATGCTTTGAGATCAACAAACAAGTCTCGTGAATTTGTTGGCAGTAACCTCTGTGTTCATTATGGCCAAAAAAAAAAAAATCTTGTGTGTATTTAATAGCATTCACCTGTCTAGCGTTGAAAAGATCATGAAATCTACATTACTTTTTGATCCCTCTAGATTTTTTACAAATAGAAAAAGGTCACGTACCAACTAAGCCTAACATCCCATTGAATATGAGAAGTTCTAAAAGCAGATCAAAAATCATAGTGTTCATTCAGTCATATTGATAATAATGTTATTCCTAAGGTGGTTTCTGTGGTATGCTATTTAGGGTTGAATAGGATGGACAAAATGTCATCTGGTCCTTGCTAATGCTAATTTTGTTTAAGTTAACCTAATTAATGCCTTATCTCCTTTTAAAGCAATTTGAAGAAAATGAATGTACTTTCTTTCATAACACTGGAATGCATATTGTGTCCTCAACTTCATTTAACTGTGGAAGCTTCTCTGTATGTTGTATGTTTGCATGTGCAAGCTCAGGAAAGACAGATGTAGTAGTGCCTAAATTTACATGTAAAAGAACTCCTAGATGGACTGCTTTGTTTTTCTTTTGCTTGCAGACTAAGGGGAACCAGAATAGAAGCTTGGAAATGGAAACATGGCATGATCTAGCCAACATATATACAAGCTTGTCTCAATGGCGGGATGCCGAGGTCTGCCTTTCAAAGTCCAAGGCTATCAGCCCTCATTCTGCTTCTAGATGGCACTCTGCAGGTGCATGCACACTTCATTCATACCTTACTGATAATTTTGTTGTTCATTTGTTAATTCTACATCATGTATGTCTTTTTTCCTTCTTACATACTCGTACTTCCAATGCTAAAGTCTGAGATGTTGCTTGCTACCTAAGTTCTTGCACTCTGTCTTGCATAGTCAAATTAAGTATGAACTGATTATTTCCCCAGATTTGGACATGATCCTTGGTTATTTTTGTTAGGTTTACTTCTTGAAGCCAAGGGGCTCCACCAAGAGGCCCTGAAATCATACAGGAATGCATTAGATGTTGAGTCGACGCATGTCCCAAGCTTGATCTCTACTGCTTGTGTCCTTCGACAGCTTGGTGGCCAGTCACTGCCAATAGCGAGAAGCTTTATTACAGACGCACTTCGGGTTGACAGAACAAACCCCTTAGCCTGGTACAATCTTGGGCTTCTTTACAAATCTGATATTGGTGCATCTGCAGTAGAAGCTGCTGAATGCTTTCAGGCTGCTGCTCTTCTTGAAGAAACTGCTCCAATTGAACCCTTCAGATGAACACACTCTTTTCCATTGTCACCTACGTAAGAACTGCTGATTGTAAATTGTTTGTTGGTTGGGTCATTTATTTGAAAATTGAAGTAAAGAAGAACAAGGAAAAAGAGATTAATCTGCAAATTTGCCATGCTCCCAATCCAATTATATTTCTAGCATTCTAAGCTCGGTTTTAATGATTCTTAACAATATGTTTGATTTGAGAGAAACCGAGGAGAGGGACAGCAAAGCACTTTCGTTCCATCTCCTCCTTCCCAGTTCTTTTGATAACCAAATAAAGGAAAATTTTCTCTTATCCTCCCCTCCCCTGTTCTCCATTTTGCCCAACCTCAACATACCGTAAGTTTAAAGACAGGGTAGCTCAATTAGGCCTCAACACCATCACCATTGTTGGCCATTGCTTTCCCTCGCTTCTTCCTCCTTTCTTTTTCTTCCTCCCTTCTCCTTCCTTTCTTTCTCTTCCTCCATTCTCATTCGTTCTCGTTCTTTCTCTTCCTACCACTCCATCTATCCCCCTTGCTTCTCCATAGCAAAGAATTTAGAAAATTTGAGTGCTCATCACATGGTTTGGGTACTCATCACCCACTAGTAACTATCGATTTCATCCCATTTGGATCTAACTTTTTTTTTTTTATTAGATCTGAAAGTTTTCTTCTTCTTCTTCTTCTTCTTCTTCTTTTTTTTTCTCTAGCTAGCACCTGGATCTAAACTCTTGGATCCCAAAAACACCAAACTACCTAATCCCTCTCCCTCCCACAAAAACCCCATCGTTTTCCCATCATTGCAGCCTCCCTCCTCTAAAGTAGCATCGAAACTAGCACCACCATTTCAATTTCTTCCCCCACAAAGATCCACATTACTAGAATGTTAAGGTAAAGGGATTTGAGATTCACTAACCCAGAAAGATGAGGGATTTATCATGCAATTGAAAATAGGAAAAGTAGTCTTGAATTTTATGGGGTTTCAAATGAATTTTTTTTTTCATCTTTATGCTTGTACTTGCTATGTTCTTCTAAATGTTTGGTTGAATCCCTCTTGTATTCTACAGATTGGCAAAATCAAGCTAGATCTCCAACTAAAATTTGAAAAAAAAAAAATCATGGATTTTTCTCATTTTTGTTGTTGTGTTGGAGATGAGATAGACCTGCGAAAGAGAAGGAATTTCTAACTATTTGTTAAATTTAACTTTTACATTAAGGAAGAATAAGAAAATTACCCCATTGGTGCCTAACAAAAACCCAAATAATTAACTTTAATATCTTAATTTTAACTTTAATAAAAAGAAAATTGGAGAAGATGAACAATACCTTTCCATTAACTATGTTAGCATGACAAGAGGAAAGGCAAAGAGAATGAGTCAAGGAAGATGACTAGCAAAAGAAGTAGAGCAAGCATGAGAAAGAAGACAAGGGCATTTATTGCATTTAAGAAAACTTTAGACTATTCAGAATAAGTTAAGATAAATATATATCAAAATAAAATATTATTTTTTTCGTTTTTTAAACACTTGTGTGATGAGTCCAATGTGGATTCATGGTGTGTATGAATCATTTCCCATATATACATGTAAAGAGTAAACATGAGTGTAGGGTTGGTAACGTGGTTGGTGGAGACAGGGACGGGGACGATAGGTGTTGCTTTGAAGCTGATAAAAACCAAGCCCTTAATTGAATCCATGCAAAATATAAGGACTCAATTATACTGTAGCAAAGTCTTGATAGACGGTTCTACAAAAAAAAAAAAAAAGAAGGGATTTAATTGGCAGGTTTGCGAAATTAATTTTTCCTTCTTAAAAAATTGGGAAATCAATTTTCTGCTTCTCATCAAGCAAACTCCTTTCCTTACCAAAAATAAGATGAATCAAATTCAATTTTATTTAGAATAAACCCTAATTATTTTTTTTTTTAAAAAGGAAAAGCCTTTAAAGTTTAAACCCTAATTTTGTTTCCTTTCTTTTCCTCCAAGTTAGTTACTTTGTGTATTAGTACAACAAAGAACCAGCCTTTGTGTTTCTTCTTCAATTTTCCCCCCGATTTTTGCAGATAATTTGGCTTCAAAGATGCCAGGCATGCAAGCTTTAGTCAATGACCTCGTCACCAAGCTTCAAAAAAGGTTAATACTTTATCTGTGTCTTGGGAGTTTTTATGGCTGAAAGTAGAATCACTGTAGTTGTAAATTTGCATGCAAAGTAAATGCAACAGTTGTTTTTAGACTTAAATTGTCTTTTGCTTTGTGGGTTTTTTTTTTTTTTTTTTTTTAATTGCATTGTTTTCCTTCGTTTTGATTGATTTTGGAGGCAGGAAAATTGAGGGTTCGAATGAAACTGCTCGGATGACAGCCGAGCTGCTAAGGTCTTTGATATCACAGCAGAGGCTGCCACCGACAGACCAGGCTGCAGCCCTCATTGAGGCTGTAAGGGATGTTGGCGTGAGGCTAATTGCAGCCAATCCTGTTGGTAAGCTTAGAGCGTCAGATCTGGGAGACAATAGTGTATTTTCAGAGATGGATATTGATGTTTGGGGCTTTAGGAATTAGGCATTAGGCATCAGAAAGTATGCAGGGAGGAGATATGCTTTTGGGATATTTTGATGCTAAACTTGTTTTCTTTCAATTGACTCTTTAATTGTGCATGCTGTTTTGGGAAAAAGAATTAATTTTTGCAGGTATAGATACAGGGGTTGTGAGTATGCTTACATATGATTAAGAGAAAAGGGCAGAGATTATTAATACAGTATATCTGGTCTCAATTCAGGTTTAGACATGTACTAGTATTTTTTCTCCCAAAAAAACCATTACTTGATGAAAAAGATATGTTAAAAGAACTCCTATAGCTTGAGGGTAGATCCTTGAAATGATAATTGTATCCTGTAGCGTAAGCCTAAACACAAATAATTGCATCTTTTCTGCCTCATGCCTTGAAATGATAAGGAGTTATAAAATTGGTTTATCCATCAAGAGACTTAGCAAAGAATATTATTGCTGAGTTGTGTGTCTCTGTTGCATCATATGATGGAATTCTTGTGCAATTTGGACTGCAGAGCTTGCCGTTGGGAACATTGTAAGGCGTGTTTTACGTGTTGTTAGGGATGAGGATTTTTATCTCACGACAAAAGCTCTTAAAGAGATGGGACTGTCGGCTACAACGGATTATGAAGACATGGCTGTCAAAGGTGATGGTCACAATTTGCCTATTTCTGCTAACTCTGCCAATGGCCTTCAACGTCCACCTTCATTGCATGCTCTCCTTGAGCGATCACCAGAGCTGGTAGCAAATTCCCTGACTTCTACTTTATGGGATGGCTATGAAGGAAAAGGCAAATGTAAGTGATCATACTGGTCTTATCTTTAAAATAACTCTATCCTTTTAAAATCTGTTATCTTTAAGTTAAAGTAAGGATTTTCAGAAATTAGTCTCCCTATCTGTATTTGTACATTAGTAGCATATTTTCTACTCCCTCTCTCTCTCTCTCTCTCTCTCTCTCTCTCTCTCTCTTTTCCAATAGAAAATGTAAGGATAAAATTGTTGAATGTTTTCTTGATACTGAATGATTTATGTCATCCTTTACAGCAACTGATAAAAGTACGAGAACCTGGAAGGTGAAGAGTGGTGTCATCGAGGCACTTAATGATCTCATTGAAGATATAAATACTTGCCATGAACTTATTTCAGAACAAGCAATGGAGATTATTCATCAAAGGTACTTATGATATACTTACTGTTATCTTTGCCTTTTATTTTTACTCATTTTGGTCTTCTCTTTGTCCTATATGTTTAAGAGGTGTAAAGTCCTCTCGCTTCAGTTAACTTTTCCTTCATTAGGAACAAAAACTAGCAGAGGCAATCTTTAATCTGACCACCTTGGTTAAATCTATTCTATCATGTCCCTTTACATTAGCCTTTTGCTTCCTGAGGCAATGTGTGTCTTAGGTAGACCAAATCCCCAAATCTTGAGAATCATATTTTTCTTAAAAATTTCTATTGTCAATTAAATTGGTCTGAAAATTTGATTGATTTTCCTTCATTAAAGGCCTGAACCTGAAATTGGTGATTTTACAACATGATTGAATTTGTTTGACTTCTCTGCTTTCAGTGAGGTGATACTGACTTTTGGTCGTTCAAGAACTGTAAAGGAATTCCTACTTGCTGCAAAGGTCAAGAAGCGATCATTTCAGGTTTTAGTTGCTGAGGGTGGTCCAAAGTCAGTACATAACTCTAATAAAGGAAGACTTGAATCTTGGATTAAATCACCATCACCTAACACGTTTTAATGATCTGTTGCTTCTTGGGTCATTTTCAGGTATGAAGGCCAACTTCTTGCAAAAGAATTGGCTGCAAGGGGTTTACAGACCACGGTCATCCTTGATGCTGCAGTTTTTGCGATGATTTCTAGAGTCAACATGGTAGTTTGATTGGCTTTTCTGTTTCATTATATTGATGAATACTGTCTAATTTATTTAGATACTTAGATATGAAACCTGTTACTTCTCCTAAAAGGTTATAGTTGGAGTTCATGCTGTGATGGCCAATGGGGGAGTCATAGGACCAGTTGGATTGAACATGGTAGCCCTGGCTGCGAAAAGGCATGCTGTTCCATTTGTTGTGGTTGCTGGCACTCACAAGGTATGTTGCTCAATAATAGCTCCATCATCTACGTCAGATGACCATACATCCCAGGGAAAATTTATTCTTATACAATCCCATCTCATTTCATAAAAGGGTAGTCCGAAGTTTTGGGGTCAAGCAAAGAATGATGATAGCAGTATGCATTTTAGGACTTAGCTGTATTGTGTTTTAAACTTCTTATGTGATGCCATCTTGTTTGCTTGACAGTTATGTCCATTGCATCCACATAATCCAGAAGTCTTGCTGAATGAAATGAGATCTTCATCTGAACTGCTGGATTTTGGGGAATTCTCTGATCTAATGGAACATGGAATTGGCACTGGGGCTCCTTTACTTCATGTTGTTAATCCTGCCTTTGATTATGTGCCTCCGGAGCTAGTCAGTCTTGTCATTACTGAAATGTAAGACAATTTCATATGTTAGATTGCTTTTGTCAATAAACATCCCATCAGTAGTAGTTGATTGAATAGGAGAAGCAAATCTTGTACATGTTGAACATTTTCTGGCGTATTATATGGTTCAAGAATTAACACTTATTTTTTGTTTTGTTCACAGTGGAGGACATAAACCCTCATATATCCACCAGCTTATGGAGAATTATTACTCTGCCGATGATTTTACTTTGCAACAGCAAGCTGCTTCTTCAGCTTAGATTACTAGAAACACATCTAACTAGTGAGTCTTTTTTTTTTTTCCCCTAATATCTTGAACAAAAGGTGTTGTGTACTCTAAATTACACCGAATTGCATAACTTAAATCATTAGATGTGGGCTGAGCACCAATATTGAGAGTTAGACCCTCATTCAATGGCTCACTGTTTAACAGTTTAAATTGCAAAACAGTGAATTCTATTTTGAATTTCTCCCTTCATTTTTAGTTTTATGATCGTGTGCTGCCGGTGAAAATATTAATCCGTAGTCTCATATGCTTTATTTTGGTACAAATACTCTTAAGTTCTTCAAGTGGGTGTAATTCTCATCATTTCAGGACCCTGGAAACTTGGCAATGGAAATATGGTATTGATTGGAACTCTTATTTATTTATTTTGCTTGGTGTTATGCAGGTATGACTCGAGTTGTTGATTTGGATCACTTAACAATGCAGAAGGAGAAGACCAAATATAAACCATTCTGTTTTTCCACGGTCAAAATTTTAGATTCTCGGTAAACTTGATATATTAATGCCATATATCAGGTGTCTGAAAATTTCTGAGAAAGACCTGTCTTGTCTGGAATTGGAAAAGGTTTCATGCCGAAGTTGAGCTCCTCAACATGCTGAGAATGGCATCTATTTTGTAATCAATTCCTCGGCACATGGTTGAGTTTTAACTTTTGATATTATTACAATACCTGGTTTATGGTAGTTTCTGTATGGCTTCTGTCTACAGGGTAGTTGTTACTTCAAAGCATGAATCCACATTTTTGTTCAAAATCCCCTTTTTTATCCTGAAAGGGGTGTGCCCAATATGCACGGACAAACAAAATGCTCAAGGTCTGCCCTGTCGAAAAGGGTTACTGACTGTTCTCATTGATAGTTTCCTTGATACACCAATGGAACAAGCAAGTGAAAATTTTGAACTTGCATCAGTAAAAGCACTCTCCTTTAAGTAATGTTCATCTCTCATTCAGTTGTTAAAGGAACAAGCATCCAAAGCCTGAGACAACACCAGTAAGAAATGAACTCATAGAACCGACTGGTTTAGAAGCAGATATTGTTATTTGAAAAGAATTACACAACAAAAGAAAAAACAAGCAAGGAAAACAAATTTTAAACAGACATGCTTTACCATTAACTTTGTTTTACCAGTAAAGCCTTTACCTACAACTAGAAGAAAAGTTGCCAGGACATTAGTCATTCCTTTCGAAGATCTATTCCAGCCTTTTTTGCAACAGCATCTAGTCCATTCTTCTCTATGGTCTTCAATGCCTTGGTTGACAAACGCAATTTGACATAGCGCTTACCAGCTTCCCACCAAATCTTCTTGTATTGTAGGTTGACAAATTGCAATTTCTTTGTCTTGTGATTTGAGAAGGAAACTTTGTTAGCCTTGTTTGATTTCTTTCCAGTAAAAGGGCATACTCTTCCTGAAAAGTTTGATCAAGTTATGGTAAAGCAATTAAACATAGACTAATTATATCAATCACAAAGTGGCTCTGAGCTAGAATAGCCAAAAATGGTTGTGCGCAACAAAAGCAAATCTAATTGTTCTACAAATTATCTTAATAGTCAATACTAAAGAAGACTATTAAAATCCATCCCAAATCCATCAAAAGACATCATATAAGTCAACTTGTTCTCATTTCCTTCCAAGTTCCAACCACATAAATGTATAACATAAGACATAAATAAAGAGTAAAGAATGCATCCCTACCCAACAACACCCTTACAGGAGAGGAGAGAGAACCTGCCTTTCTATCACTAACCAAAATGCAATAGCCATTGTATCCCGAATCTCACTCAAACCAAAGTTCCTTCACCCATAACCATCAGTTATCTTCACCCTGAAACTCCTATTCCTTTCTACCAATCTTCAGAAAGCCTAATCAATTTAATTTAACCCAAAATTCCTTCAACCATCCAAAAGAAAATCTTTCTATGGATTCCATGAATTGTTCCATCTAGCACCACCTCAAAGCTAATGCACTATTTAATTCTAATTAAAGATCAAATTTTTCAAAAGATTATCCACAATTAAGCACCTCAAAAGGTACAAAATTGCATTTGGCTCTGGGGAAACTCAAAAGAAATGAAGTCAAAAGGGTTATCCCCTATTCAATTCTCTTAGTCCCCAATAAGAACGAGGCGAGCTTAAATCAAAAGAAAATCCTAAATACAACTGAGTTAAACCCAATTCCAAATCGAAGAGACCATTAGATCCTGCAATATAGAGAAATACAAGAAAGCAAAGGAAAGAAAAGGGGAAAAAGGTAGAGAATTACGCGCGATGGGTTGCAGAGCAGGAGTGAGAGGGGCGGAGATGGGTTTAAATGACGCAACCTGAGGGAGCTTGTGCGTGATTTTGAGTCCACAGAATTGGGAGGTAACAGAACCCAGTTCTGCGCCCACCGTCTTCTTTGGGGGCACCGGTCTGTGGAAGCGTAGGGTGGAAATGGTTCCCAAAAGCACTCCCGGCACTGCCATTGCCACCATGCTTTCTCTTCTCTCTACAAGTATAGTTTCTGGGTTTTCTTCTTATCTGCGTTTCTCAGGAAATGAAGCAGGTAATTTTCAGCCTAAATGGATAATGAATTGTTTACCGTGTTGGATTTGGGGCCTCTTGCTTACCGGCCCCTTTTTTTTATTAACAGTATTAGAAATGAAGCCAACTGTAGTCCTCATACTTTGTAACAATGTTCATTACCGTCCTTCTACTAAGGAAATATTCAATTTCATCCCTCTACTTTGCTTACAGCATACATGTCATCCCTTTACTACACCTTTTTTTATTCAATATCACCCTTAATTGAATGTCATCCATATTTTCGTTAACTTTGACTAGTAATTGCCTAATAATTAAACATTTAACTTTTGTTTATTAATTTTTTATCCACCAACGAAACTTTTCATTAAATTTAAAATAAAATATTTATAGAATTAGTCCTCAAAAAATAAAAATGTAATAATTTAGTTTAAAAGTTTAAAAATTTTAAAAATTAGTAAGTTAATAGATGACTTTGTCACATGAGAACAGTATTAAATATTTACAATTAAATTAAGTGATTAGCTCAATTTAAAGATTAAAATCTGACTAAAATTAAAGAAAATTTATTGGCAATATTTTTCTAGTTTTTTGAATTTTTTATTTTAATTCAGTTAAGAAATTTTTTTTAATCTCAATCAAAATTCTTTTTTCAAGTTGAACTAATCACTTGATTTGATTATAAATATCTAATACTATTTTAGTGTATGTGAAAACGTCATCTACTAATTTTTTTTAGTTTACTAATTTTTAAAAATTTTAAACTTTTAAAATTAAAATGTTTTATTTTTAATTTTTGAAAATTGATCCTATCACTATTTTATTCTCAATTTAATAGAATGTTAATGAATTCCGTTAGTTTAGAGACTAAAGTAAAAAATAAAAAAGAATAATACAAAACTAAAAAAATAAGAAAAAAAGGAATTGTTCCTACTGGTCCTACTAGGTGGACAAAAAGTTAATGAACAAAAGTTGAATGTTTGACCGTTGATAAAGTTAACAGGAATGTGGATGGCATAGAATTAAGGGTGATATTGAACAAAAAAAAACTGTAGTAGAGAGATGACATTGAACATTTCCTTAGTAGAGGGATGGTAATAAATATTTTTACAAAGTACAAGGACTATAGTTAGCTTTAACCATTTTAAAAAATGGAGAGAATCTCAAGGGCAGATTCAAAAAAATAATTACAAATTAAGGTAAGTTATAAATATATTTCTAAAAAAGTGTCAAAACTCAAATTATTCCAATTCAGTACCCAGCAAAGCTGCAATGCAAAGTCTGCCCCCTTTTCTAAATTAAGGCTTCAAATTAGTATTACTTATTTTTCCTTTTTCTTTACTCAAATTAAAAATTTTAAAATTAGCGGTTATTAATTCTCTAATACGCTTATTAGTGTTTTGGTTACCCTACTCTTAAATAGATTCGCCCATACTCCTATTAGTGTTTTAGTTACCTTGTTCTAGCTAATGTTTGTTGGGTTAAAGAGTTAACTTCATAGAAAAATGTTTTATTAAAAAAGTATTAAAAGTTAATCAATTTTGTTAGAATTTTATTATATTGTTAATTTTTCTATATTGGTAATAAATTAACATAAAAAAAATTAGTAAAAAAGTTATCAAGTAGATTACGAAAAGTTACAAGGAAATTTTTTCTCTTTAAAAAAATGTAGAAAAAAAATTCATTTATCATTAATGTTATTGGTGATTTGATGTTTAAATTAAAATTCTCTTCTACACTACATAAAAAAAATTAGTAAAAAAGTTATCAAGTAGATTACGAAAAGTTACAAGGAAATTTTTTCTCTTTAAAAAAATGTAGAAAAAAAATTTATGAATTAAAAATTATTTTAAAAAAATTAAATATTAAAAATCTCAAATTTACCTCCTTCATATATCGGACTCCCATGTGGCCATTAAATCAACATATAAGAGCAACTAATCCAAAATTGCAAATCAAAATGGTTATAAAAAAATATTTTAAGTGTTTTCCACTAACTTTTTTAAAGATCTAGCTAGTGTAATATGTTAATCTCTTAAATTTAAAATTAATTAAAAAATGTATTGATAATCACCTAAACTTCATCGGTTAATGTATTGCATAAAAATGAGTTAATTTCAAAATGATCCCTAAACTTCTCAAATTTTGTGCAAATTAGAGTTAATTTGCATTTTAACTCTTAAGTGACCATTTTTTTTACTCTTGCAACATCTTTAGCCAACACCAAATTTCTAAAAACATCAATCAGAAGTTCAGATGTCATGACAACCATTCTATATGAATACGACAATTAACAATTTGGATAAAATTAACAACACAATTAGCATAAAATTGAAAAAAAACAATTTGAAAAAACTAAGAGAAGAAAATAATTGCCATCCGCTTTTAAGAGCTGAACTTTTTTTTTTTTTTTTACTCTAAGTTTGTGAAATGTGCAGTTGAAAATTTGGGGATTAAAAATACAAAATAAAATAAAAAGGTTAAATGTTAAATTTGGTCCCTCAACTTTAGTGAGTTGCACATTTTTGGTCCCTTAACAATTTTTTGCACTTTTTTGATCCCTCAACTATACAAAATGCACTCCGTTAATCCTTTTGTCAATTTGGGCTGTTAACTCGACCACATGGCATTTTTTATATTTTTTTTTATGACATAGCAGGCATAACTTAAAAAAGATGCTTAGCTGGACCTTTTTTTTTTATGACATGTCATCTTCATCTTCTTCGCACAAAACCCCTCAAATGGATTCCAGTTACCTGCAAACTAGTCTTTCATCTTCACCATCTGCAAAATCGATCTTAACCCATTTTTTTTTATTCTCTGAATGCTCTCTCATATCCACTCCATCTGCAAAATCGATCTTAACCCATTTCTTTTTCTTCAGTGAATGCTTCTCATCTCCACTCCATCTACAAAACCGACCTTAACCCACCCATTTCCTCTTCTTCTCTTTTCTCAGGGAAACTTGAGCTACTGGTTTCATTGAAACCTCAAACCTGGCAGATCTTACCAAATCAAAATATCCTTCAATAAACAATACCAATCAAACTCTAATCGAATATCAACAAAAATACAATCAAACTTCAATCAAACTTTAATCAAATTATAAATCAATCTCCAAATATATTAACAACTGGAAATGGAAATAGAAAGAAGAACGAAAAACCAAGAACTAAGCTTTCCCAGCAAAGCTGGGTTCGGTTGAAGGCTGGGTTTCAACCGAACCCAGCCTTGCTGGGTTTCCACCGAATCCAGCCTTGCTGGGTTCGTCGAAACCCAGATCTGCTGGGTTCCGACAAACCCAGCCGGCGAACCCAGCCTTGGCTGGTCGCGAACCCAGCAAGGCTGGGTTTCAACCGAACCCGGCCTTGCTGGGTTTCAACCGAATCCAGCCTTGCTGGGTTCGTCGAAACCCAGCCTTGGCTGGTTGACGAACCCAGCAAGGTTGGGTTTCCATCGAACCCGAAAGAAGGAAAGAGAAAAAAAGAAGGGGAAGAAGAGGGATTGGGAGGGTGAGTGTGAGGATGAGGGTAATAAAGTAATTTTATATATTTTTAATTAAAAAA